ATGGACTGGGAATAAATTTTGGGTCAGTCAAAGTATGAGTGGTAATGAAAGACCTCAAGAATCATTAATTTTGTGTTTGTTTTGAGACATAATTTCTACATATAACAGCCTATCCTTGAACTAGGAGAGATCTGCCTACCTTTCTTCCAAGTGTGGGATTAACTTTCCATCACATCCAGTTTAAAAAGAGTCACTAATTTATCCAGGTAGTGCTGGTGAATGCCTTTGATCCCAGCACTTGGAAGTCAGAGGCAGGCAGATCTCTGTGAGTTCGATGACGGCAAGGGATACACAGTGAAACCCTGTCAAAAACAAACAGAGGAAAAAAAGAATCATTGATTTATTGGCTGCACATTTATTGCTTCTCCCACACAGAGATAGGGAAGATGACTTCTACAAGGCCCCATCCCTCCTGGAATCTAGACTTGGCTGGGGCACAGACAAAGACAGTAACACTGTAATTGATGTGTGTACTAGGGCCGGCCAGAAGTAGTTTCTAGAGCAGTTCTCAATGTTTCTAATGCTGTGTGACCCTTTAATATAGTTCCTTGTGTTGTGACCCTAAACCATAAAATTATTTTTGTTACTACTTCATAACTGTAGCTTTGCTACTGTTATGAATCATAATGTAAATATCTGTGTTTTATGATGGTCTTAGGCAACCCCTGTGAAAGGGTTGTTTGATCCTCTCCCCCACCCCCAAAGGGGTGGCAACCCACAGGTTGAGAACTGATGTTCTAGGGGATCTAGGACTTAGGTAGGAAAGACACTGTCCTGGCACTCCACACCACAAGGATCCCCTTGGAAAAAGATAGCCTTGGGCTGGAGAGATGGCTCAGTGGTTAAAAGCACTGACTGTTCTTTCAGAGGTCCTGAGTTCAATTTTCAGCCACCACATGGTGGCTCACAACCATCTGTAATGGGATCAGGTGCCCTCTTCTGGTGTGTCTGAAGACAGCAGTAATGTATTCATATACATATAAATAAGTAAATCTTCAGGAAAAACAAAAAAAAAGAAAGAAAAAGGTAGCTTGAACTGTGGAAGGGCCTGAAGGCATAGGTGGGAACAATTGGAGTTAGAAGACAACAGAGATACCCTCTTAAGGGCAAGGTGCTTGCCTCTTGAGTTTGGTGATCTGAGTTTGATCCCTAGGATCCACATGGTAAAATTAAAGAACAGACTCTTGCAAATTGTCCTCTGACCTCCAGAGATGTTTGTGGTGATGTGGGTCCACATACTGACACAGTGACAGCAGTTGCCAAGGGAATTACAGTATGGAATGTGCTAGTGTCTGCCTGCAGTGCCTGCTCACTGGATACTTTGATGATGAAAAATGAATGGAGGTGGGGAAAATACATATTAACAGTATTAGGTAAGTCTTTCTACAAACTAGCCCGATGAGGGTAACCTAGGGTGGAATAGGAGATACACAAAAAGACAGTTTAAAGATGCAAGAATGCGAAGTAGCATATGCCAAGAAAAAAAAGAGAAAAAAAAAACAACCAATAGAAACAGGCTAAAGATATAAGAGGAGGGACTAGAAAGATTGCCCAGCAGTTAAGAGCCTTTGTTGTTCTTCCAGAGGACCTAGATTTGATTTCATCATCCATATTGCTGTTTACAACTCTATAATTCAGTTCCAAGGGGTCCGATGCCCTCTTCTGTCTTCTGTGAGCACCAGCCAGCCACACTCATACATGCAGGCAAAATACCCATTCATATAAAATGAAATCCTTTATCCATTCTGTTGGAAGACATCTAGATTGTTTCCAATTTCTGGCCATTGTGCACAGAACAGAGTAAGCATGGTTAAGCAAGTGTCCTTGGGGTAAGGTGAGTATTTGAGCATATGCCTAAGAGTGGTGGATCTTAAGATAGTGTTTCATCTTTCTGAGGGAATCAGCCACACTGGTTTCCATAGTGACTATACACATTTGCACTCCCAACAGCAATGGATGAGTGTTTCTCTTATTCCACACTCTCACTGCATCATCTGTTACATATGTTACTGATCATAGCCATTCTGACAGGTGTAAGATGAAGTCTCAAAGTTTTGATTTACATTTCTCTGATGGCTAAGAATGTTGAACATTTGTTTCTCAGCCACTTGAGTTTTTTCTACTGAGAGTCTATTTAGATCTGTACCTTGTTTTTAAATTGGATTATTTGCTTTCTTGATATCTAGTTTCTTGAGTTCTTTATATATTTTAAATATTAGGCTTCTATCAGATGTGGAGTTGGTGAATATCTTTTCCCATTCTGTAGGCTGCTTCTGCACCAGGTCCTCTGTGTATGGATTATGGCTTTCAGTTTAGTGTTTTTACAGGACTCCTGACTGTGTGAATAAGTGGATCTCCAATTCTTGAGCCTTCTCTTGTGCTCTTTCTTCTCTTGGTTTGCCTTGTCCAACTTTGATGTGATGGTTTTGTTTTATCTTATTATACTTTATTTTGTTTTGTTGTTTTCTCTTAGAAACCTGTTCTCATCTAATGAGAGACAGAATGGGAGTGGATCTGGATGGTAGGGGAGGTGGGAAGAAACTAGGAGGAGTAGAAAGAGTGGAAACTTGAATTAGAATATTGCTGTTTTAAAAAACAAAACTGCTGGGCAGTGGTGGCGCACTTTAATCCCAGCACTTGGGAGGCAGAGGCAGGTGGATTTCTGAGTTCGAGGCCAGCCTGGTCTTCAGAGAGAGTTCCAGGACAGCCAGGGCTACACAGAGAAACCTTGTCTCGAAAAAAAACAAAAACAAAACAAAACAAAAAACCTCCCAGCCATTTGATTTTACCAATGAAGACTCAGGAACCAGATGCTGGGGTGAAAACCTGCTAGCTCAGAGAGGTAGAGAAAGCACCCAAGCTGACCTTCCTATTCCACCAAAGACCCAAAAGGAAAAGGAAAAAAAAAAAAAGCTCCTTCTCCTTCTCTGTGCTGTCTTAAATAACCTTCAACTCAAAGACCTTCCTTTCTATTTACTTAGGTTAACTTCCTTATGTTGCTTGCTCTGCCTCTTGACCTAGAGTTGACATTAGTGAGCTCTTGGATTAAAGGTGTGTGCTAGGGCTGAGCCACACCACAAGAAGGTTTTTCCAGTTCACAATCTTGGGGTTTACGATGTGATCAAATATCCTGCAACAGGATATATTATATGAGAAAATAATCCATTTTCAGTAAGAGGGGGAAATTATAATGGTTTTAAAAAATACACAGAAGAGGAGTCAGGCCTGGTGGTACAGACCTTAATCTCAGCTTCTCCAGAGGCTAAGCCAGGAAAGAACAAAAGTACAAAGCCAACATCCAAGGCCTGCTTGCCTACATGAGAATCTTGTCTCAAAATATCTGCCCAGCACGTGTGAGTCCCTAGGTTCAATTTCTAATACTGGGAGTGGAGGAGGGGAGAATGAAAGGTCAGCAGGCAGGACATCTCCTCTGTCCTACTTAGTAACTTCATGAAGGGTTTTGTTGGTGGTGGATTTTTTTGTTGTTTTGTTGAATATTTTTGGTGTTTTGTTTGTTTTTTATTTCTATATAGTCCTGCCTCTCCTAGAACTTGCTCTGTAGACCAGGCTAGCCTGCAACTCAGCGATCTGCTCCCCAAGTACTGAGATTAAAGGTGTGTGTCACCACTGCTGGCTAGTGAGTTTCCTCTATGCACATAGAAGGAAAATTTTGATGCTCTAGGATGGTTGTGGGAAATATGAGAGAGTGAGCTAAGCATAGGTAGGATGGCAAGTGGCCCAGAGGGCTGCAGTGTTCCCAGTACCATTCTTGCCTCCAGAGGTAGTCCAGTCCTAGTTTGTTCTCTATTGCTATGATAAAACACCATGACCAAAAACAAATTGGGAAGGAAAGGGTTTATTTCAATTACACATCGCAATCACAATCCATCACTGAGGAAAGCTAAGAATTCAAGCAGGACAGGAACCTGGAAGCAGGAACTGAAGCAGAGACCATGGGGGACACTGCTTGTTCTCCATGGTTTGCTCAGCCTATTTTCTTATACAACCCAGATTCCCTACAATACCTCGTAATGCTTTCCAAATGGCCCTACCAACTGGGACCAAGTAGTCAACATATGAGCCCCATGGGGGAGGGGGGTGTTCTTACTCAAACTACCTTAGTGCTCATTTCAGAGAAGCCAGTGGTGTGTATATGTGTGTGCATAGTGGTATGTGTTTATTTGTGTGTGTGTGTGTGCAGTGGTATGTGTTTACGTGTGTGTGTGTGTGTGTGTGTGTAAACACATAACAGTGGCTTTGGGTTGCATAGATCTTGTCCTCGAACTGCAGGCATGTTAGACTTACACCTTGGTCCAGCTCTAGGTTATACAAGGTTTGGGAGGCCTGTGTCTCAAGGTATGAATGAAATAGAGTTGTTTCATGTCACCCACAAAGGCAGTGATCGTCTTACACCTTCCTCACTGTCTTAGTCAGAGTTTCTATTCCTGCACAAACATCATGACGAGGAAGTGAGAGGAAAGTGTTTATTCAGCTTACACTTTCTACATTGCTGTTCATCACCAAAGGAAGTCAGGGCAAGAACTCAAGCAGGACAGAGAGCAGGAGCTGATGCAGAGGCCATGGAGGGATGTTACTGGTTTGCTTCCCCTGGCTTGCTCAGCTTGTTTTCTTATAGAACCCAAGACTATCAGCCCAGGGATGGCACCACCCACAATGGGCCCTCCCACCTTGATCACTAATTGAAAAAATGCCTTTCAGCTGAATCTCATGGAGGCATTTTCTCAACTAAAGCTGCTTTCTCTGTGATAACTCCAGCTTGTGTCAAGTTGACACAAAACCAGCCAGTGCACTCACTCATACCATACAGCTTACTTAGATCACACTCTTCCTGCCCCTGTGTGAGTGTGTGTGCATGCTGTGCTCGTGTGCTAAGCATGTATTCTCCCACTGAGCTCCACCTCAGATCAGCCATTTTTGGAGAACATGATTATTTCAGTACTTTCAGAAGCCAGAGTTTAACCCTTGTATCTCTACCTTAGTGCCAGTTGCCAGCTGCCAGGACCCTTCTCCTCTCTGGATTCTAGCATTGAAACCCTGAAGAAGAAAGCTCAGGAACTGATTGAAAACATCAATGAAAGCAGGCAGAAGGACCATGCACTTATGACCAACTTCAGGGACAGCCTCAAAATGAAGGTGATGAATCCCTCAGAGGGAAGGGAAGCTCTAAGAAGGAAGGACCTGTGGTCTGACATCTGTTAGGGTCTAGGCACCTGCTAGGCAGGCACTTTGCACATAGCTCTCACTTTACTCTGGAGGAGTCAATAGATTGGCCCATATTATAAGTGAGAAAATTAAGGCTCAGAAGTGAATGAGTTCGGATGGAAGTGTTGCTTAATGGTAGAGCATTTGCCTAACCTGAAAACTGATACTGGTTTGACACCCATTTATACATACACACAAACACACTTTTTTAAGTGGTAAACCAGATACGGTAACTCCACCTTTAATCTCAGCACTTGGGAAGTAGAGGCAGGCAAATTTTGGAGTTCGAGGCCAGCTTGGTATACTTAGTGAGTTTCAAGCTAGTGCGAGTCTGTCTCAAGAAAAAAAAAAAAGTGAGGCCTGATGGCTTAGCAGTTAAGAGCACTTACTGGTCTTCCAGAGGACTGGGGTTGACTCCTAACACCCACGTTAGGTAGCTTACATCTCCTGTGACAGCAGCTCCTGTAGATCAGATGCACTCTTCTGACATCCATGTCAGTAGGCATGCATGTTACACACATAGACAAGCAGGCAAATCACCCATTATCTGTTTTTTTTAAAGTGGTAAATGGTATAAGGGAGCCCCAGGCTCAGGAACTGAGATCTGTCCACTTCAAGAGTTGTAAGCATGCTAGATCAGTACTCTTAATACTAGGCTGTATTTATACCCCAGACTTATTTTTATTTTGAAGCAGGGTCTCACTTTCCCAGTTGCCTTGAACTCGCTCTGTAGTCCAGGCCTTGAACTTGTAATGTTCCTACCTTAGCTTTCTGACTATCTAGGATTATAGGCCTGTTCCAACAGGCTTGGCTGTGGCTTGCCTTATCTTTCCCATGTATCTTCAGAAAGTAGCTGTGGTCTGGGATGAGATAGCTGGTCCTACAACACACATGGGGCTCATGTCTCACAAAGCCTGATGACCTGCTTGATGGAATGCAGCATCTGTGCATTGCCTGAACATGGCTGTGCCTGGGGCTGCTTGAAAGTACACAGCCAGCAGAGCCATTCAGTCAGACCTTTTCTATTTCTAATTCATACATATTGTCTTTCCTTGGTATCCAATAAGAGGATTAGTTTCAGAACCTCACAAGATGCCAGTTGTGATAGGTGGTACTCAGTTCTCTCATACCAAATGAGGTAATATTTGCATAGAACCAATGAATATCTTTCTGTACATTTTAATTATTTTCGGGTTTTTGAGGCAGGATCTTGCTATATATATAGCTTTAGATGGCCTGTGTAGCCCAGAAGACTCCTGCCTCTACTCCCAAGTGCTAGAATTACAGGTGTATACCACTACAGATTGACTTTTCAGCATTCCTAGATTTAGTAAGAACCAACTGAACATATACAATGTTATCTTGTTTTAATAAAGAAGCTGGGCATTGTGGCATATCCCTACTATTCCCAGGACTTAGGAGATAGCACTAGGGTCAGGAGTTTAAAAACCAGCCTCAACTACATAGCAAGTTCAAGGCCAGTCCCAGCTACATGAGACGGATCATCTGAAACACAAGAACTGGGAATGGTGGTGTACACCTGTGTGCATATAATACCATCACTAAAGAGGCTAACACTGGAAGATTGATGAGTTTAAGACTAGCCTGGGCTACATGGCAGAACCATGTCTTTAAAAAAGTAACATAAACAAAATTTTGCCTGTAGTCAGTGTAGTTCTTGATTACTTTTTCTAAGGTCTCAGATCTGACAGAAAAGTTGGAGGAGAGGATGTACCAGGTGTACAGCCACCACAGCAAAATCATTCAGGAAAGACTACAAGAATTCACCCAGAAGATGGCAAAGATCAGCCATCTGGAAATGGAGCTCAAACAAGTCTGCCAAACTGTGGAAACTGTGTACAAGGACCTATGTGTCCAGTCTGAGGTAAGAATTTGGGAGTGTATCCTGTGAGAAAGACCTGGAATGTCTCCGCTGAAAGTAAATATGAATAGGAACTAGACTTTTTTTTTCCCCTTAAAGTGTAGGGAATCAAATCCAAGGCACATGGGTTTGCACATGCCAGACAAGTGCTGTATCTGATACCCACCCCACTCTGGTAGGAAACAGGAAATTTACTAATCCCTACATGGCTAGTCCCTGTAAAAGCCTTTGATCCGCCACCTTGTTGGGAGTCCCTAGTCACATGGCTTAGATTGAGAAGCCCAACTATTGTCCATGCTATTATTGTGTACTTAGCTGTGTCATATGAGGGACAGGACAAAGTGTCCCCTGCCAGTCAGAATGTCTAGCTCAAAAATCTGTGTGCTATTCCAGAGTGGCACAACCCCTAGGCATGTTTGTCTCTCCTACGAGAAATTCCCCAAACTACCTCTCCATGGTTACCAGTAAACCTAGTCCAATCCCAAGGAGTAAGGCACAGGCTCTTTATTTCCATCTTTTATCAGCTCAGTGTTGAACACAGAAGGTACTGCCCTGAGATAGAGGCAAGAAGGCATACTGTAAAGTCCAGTGCACCTTCTCACAAGGTCTGCTCCATCTCAGTGGCTCCTGTGTCACTCCCCTCTGTCTCTCCCAGTTCCAAAAAACTTAAAATGACCGGGTAGGTGGAACCTGATTTCATTCACAGTTAAAAAGGGCTGAGGGACATACAGAGAATTAATTCCATCTTCTTTCTATAGAGCATATCTGAATGTCTTCCAGAAAGAAATTTCCTGAGTCTCAAATCAGTGTCTCACTCTCCACTATAAAAGCTGGGTCCATCTTCTTGAGCAGACTCAGGGCAAAGTATCTCTCTGTTGAGGGCCCTCTGTTGAAATGGGTTCACTTGTCAACCGTGAATGCCTGAATCCCAGTAATTGCTCTCCCAAGGATCAGAGCGTGAATGTCATGTGTACCTGTGTGAGATGAATGTTAGGGTTGGTTTGGAATCTTCAGTTCATAACTTACCTTTAAAGTCATCCCTTATGCCGCCCTAGGTTCCCACTTCCGAAGAACAGAATTACAAAGATGGTGAATGCTGACTTCTGCTAAGAGGCTTCTGTCTCAATGCCTTCTCACCAAGAGGAGGCACAGAGGCTACTGTTTGAACCATGCTGATATTGTTTTTTTACAGTTCTGTAACCCAACACAAAGCCACCAATGATCTTTATGCTAATTACCAACATGTGACAAGGTTAGACCCTGCCATAGGCCTTGCCTTAGCAAATTCTCCCAACCCACATCTATAGTTGATTAAATGTTTTGATTTCACCCTGGTCATACTTTATTCCAGAGTTGGGAAGACTGATGATCATCTATGCAAAAACACTGCTGGTCCTTGCTCTTTCCCTCCTTCAGGGACAGCAGCAAAAACCATAGTTTCCTTTTTACACAATCAAATAATGCCATTTATTTCCAAAAGCCTAAATCTGACCCATGTCAGCTCATGCTCACATTGTAGGATCTCACCTCACGGCTCCCTCTCACTATTTCTGGAATGTTTCATCCAGTAGCCTCAGATAAACACTGAAGGATGTGGGACTTTCCCAAGGTTCAAATCCTGTCATTGGAGCAGGCAAGGAAGATATCCCATAGATTCTGCTTAAAGTCTAGAAGCTTCTCTGCCAGTGAAGCTGGTGTCCCTGCCCGCTTTGCACAGATCATATGGGGTTGTATTTCTCCCCTTTTTAATATTGGTCAAAGATGTGTGAGTTTAGGTGCACATGAGGAGGCCAGGGGACAGCCTCAGGGTCTTGGTCCTTATTTAAGACAGGGGATTTTTTTTTGTTTTGTTTTGTTTTGTTTTGTTTTTCAGACAAGGTTTCTCTGTGTAGCCCTGGCTGTCCTAGAACTCACTCTGTAGACCAGGCTGGCCTCAAACTCAGAAATCTACCTGCCTCTGCCTCCCAAGTGCTGGGATTAAAGGTATACGCCGCCACCGCCCGGCTTTTTTAATTTTTAAAATTTTTTTTGTTATTGACTAGTCTGTACCCAGGCTAGCTGGTCTGAAAGCTTCTAAGGATGCGTGCCTGAGTTTCCCATTTTACTTAGAAGCACTGGATTACAGACATGTGCTTCTGTGCTGCTTTGACAGAGGACTTAAAACTCAGGCTCTCTTGTTTTTAATGGCAACTATTGGACTCACTGAGGCATCCCCACAGCCTCCTTCATGTTTTAGCCTCCAGTTTTTCATGTCTTTTTCCAAGTTTGTCCTAAGCCATGGGTACATGCCCTTGTGAGTTTGGTAATCTACAAACACCTTTTTAATGTGTGCTGTTCTCTTCTTCACACCCACCTCCACCGTACCTCTCTTGGAACCTTGCTCTTGGGACTGTGTCCCCTTTCATGTCCCATCCCATGATGAGAACAAGGGTCAGGGGCATTCCACAGGATCTGCTCACTGGGATCTCTGAAGTCATGTGTCACTCCTTTACATATTTATTCCCGCAAGCTCTGAACAACTGACTCCAGGTAAAGGACAGGGGGCTAGCGAGCTTGAAGCCACGCGGCAACAGCTGGTGGATTCAGCTGTGCTGTCCATTCTCCTTACTGCTGTCTCCCTCCTCCCGGACCACTGTGACATCCTCCTCCCTGAGCCCAGGCCTAACCTTCATAAGTGTTCACTGCCTCCAGATTCATAGCATGCCGGATCACATGGTACTCATCGGAAATCCCGTTTCCTCCCAGGATGTCTCGTGCCTGGCGGGCAATGTCCAGGGCTTTCCCACAGTTGTTTCTCTTCAACAGGGAGACCATTTCTGGGGTAGCCCTGGGAATGACACATATGTTATAAACACTGGGTCTCATGTACTTACCATACCCAGAAGATGGAACACATGTCCAACTGGAAAGGCTGTCTCTGATCCAGATCATCAAAACCAAAGGGGACACTGAGTAGTGATGGCACACGCCTTTAACTCTAGCACTCAGGAGGAAGAGGAAGGCAGATCTTTGGGGGGTACAAGGCCAGCCTGGTCTACAGAGTGAGTTCCAAGACAGCCAAGGCTACATAGAGGAACCCACTCTTGAAAAAAACAAGAAAAAGAGGGAAGTAGGGAGATGCTTCTATCTCTGGGGCCACCGTTTGGGAAGGTCTAGGATTCCGCCATAGTATATAATCCATACTTGTCCTGATCCTTTAAACGGCCAAGTTGCAAACAAGCATGGAAGCCCAGTGTGATCTCAGTGAGCATGTCTGCCAACTTCTTCTGAACCAGCTGGTTCCTGGCCAAGGGGACTCCAAACTGGATCCTAGAACAGGCAAAGTCAAGTGAAGACCCATAGTTCAAGAGGCTTCCTAGTTCATGCTGGCCCTGCTGTCATCTCAACATTTTAACTGCTCAAGATGTCCTGGGCCATCTCACAGAACAGACAACTTAAACTTGGTAGGTGCTAGGGAACCCCAAAATCCTCCACACCCCCAGGTGTTATAGCAGCCCGCATACCTGTCCAGGGCATACTGCCGGGCTGTGTGCAAACAGAACTCAGCAGCTCCCAACACACCCCATGTGATGCCATATCGGGCAGTGTTAAGGCAGCCAAAAGGGCCCTATGAGATTGACAAGAGGTCTCAGTTAACTGAGGGCCTGGGAAGAACCAACTGTCAAGAAGGAAAACCCATCTCCCAAATGCCCCAGACAAAGGGATCTGCAGCCATTTAAACCCCCAGGGTGTGAGCCCCAAAACTTGGGTGCATCAAGTCTTGTTCAGTGGTTTTCCACTCTGTATGTGCAAGTAGTCCTATACAGCATGGAGCCTGACCTCAATGCTCACATCTAAGACAGGCAGGAGACAGGAAGCTACTCATGCATACAGAGTAGAAACTGGTCAAAGGCCCAGATGCATTTTGGGCAGAGATAAAGAGCTAAGTGGTAGTAACTCAAAAGGTGAAATTAGCACATCTGTGAACGGGGAGGATCACTGACTCCACAGTGCTCCAGAAGAACAGGGACTGTGTATGTGTGCTCTCCACTTGAAAAGGTGAGAAAGATGAGCTAGCAGTGCCCCATCACTAGATCTCAAGGTGTCTACCACATACCGCCAGGCTGGACACATTAGGCAGCACATTCTCCTCGGGCACTTCCACGCCATCCATGATGATCATGCCGGTAGCCGAGGCCCGCAAGGAGAACTTTCCTTCAATCCTAGGGGCAGACAGTCCCCGCATCCCCTTCTCCAGTAGGAAGCCCCGAATACAGTTATCCTCACACCGAGCCCACACTACGAATAGGTCAGCCACGGGGGAGTTGGTGATCCTGGGGGCCAGAGAGTTGTGGAGGGTTGCTAGCTGCTGCTCCTTTGTACACACCTCATCCCCACCAGTCTACCTGGTCTCTCACCAGGTCTTGGTCCCATTGAGAGTGTAGCTATGGTTTGATGGATTGTGGCGAGCTCTGGTCTCCATGCTGCCTGGGTCACTCCCATGGTTGGGCTCTGTAAGTCCGAAGCAGCCCAAAAGTTCACCCTTGGCTGTAAGCACAAGAGAGGGTCTCATTCCTCTCCTGATAAGTTACCTCCTTCTCCACTGAGCCAGACCTGAATAAAGGCAGATACACCCTGCATCATGGCACTCAGTGAGCTGCTGAGAAAATGATCCAGGCCATAATCACAGTGTTATAATGTGAAGATGCCAGAAAGAAAGGGGCTGGCAAGGGTCTTAGAGGACACCAAGAGATTTAGCTGACAGAGGGTATGAAGTTTGAGGGGTTTTTTTCTCTTATTACTTTGCTTTTGTTGTTTTTTGAGACAGGGTTTCTTAGCTCTAGTTATCCTGGAACTCACTCTGTAGACCAGGCTGACCTTGTACTCAAGAGATTTTCCTGTCTCTGCCTCCCAAGTGCTAGGATTAAAGGTGTGGTGGCACCTGGCTTGTTTGTTTTGACATGGTCTCACTGTGTAGCCCTGACTGTCCTATAACTCACTATGGAGACCAAGCTGGCCTCTAGAGTGCTAGGATTAGAGGGGTATGCCACCACATCCAGCTTGACGAAGGGTATGAGTCATCACCAAGCTGACTGGAGAATCCCTAGTATCTGAGCAATCAGAAGAGTGGCCGGAAGGATAAGCATGGTAGTACATGCCTTTAATCCTAGTTGTCCCTCCTCAGGAGACCAAGGCACATAGACCTTTGAGTTTGATGCCACTGGTCTACAAAGCTCCCAGCCAAACAGGGCTACACAATGAGACCATATCTACAAATAAAATCTGAGTAGCTAAAGAAGTAGAGGAAAGGTCCCAGGGACCTGCTCATGGGCCTTGTGGATCTGGTTAGCAGTTAAGACTTTAAACTTTGGACTGGGATGAGAGGCCTAGAAAACAAATCCAAGGGGAAATGATGGTGGCCAGAGGTAAAGTCAAAGGGGAGGCAGGGGGAGGGGAGGACTGACAGAGCTGGCAGGAGATGAAGGTTGACAACTGAGCCCTAGGGCCTGTCGTGGACACAGGTGGTCTATAGGAAAGGCAGGCTGTGGGGACACTGGGACCTGCATTCCAGCCATCGTCTGACTTTCCTCTACTCGGCAGCAGCTGCTTACCCAGTCGGGGCAGATACTTCTGTCGCTGCTCCTCACTCCCATAGGTATAGATGGGGTGCATGACAAGGGAGGACTGAACACTCATCATTGACCTGTAGCCGCTGTCCACCCTCTCCAGCTCTCGAGTCAGGAGCCCATAGGCCACCGATGACACTCCAGCACAGCCATACCCTGGTGCAGAAGAGGAGCAGGTAGACCAAAGACCAAAGGTCAGCCCCGGGACTGAGCAGGGCTGTAATAGGGATCTTCTGGAAGTGTCAGGGGGCTGCCCTGGCTGGGACTTTGTTCATCTCATACCACAGCTGCTTTCTTTTTTTTTTTTTTTTTTTTAAAGATTTATTTATTTTATTTATGAGTACACTGTCACTGTCTTCAGACACACCAGAAGAGGGCATCAAATCTCATTACAGATGGTTGTGAGCCACCATGTGGTTGCTGGGATTTGAACTCAGGACCTCTGGAAGAGCAGTCAGTGCTCTTAACCACTGAGCCATCTCTCCAGCCCCCCACAGCTGCTTTCAAGAGGGATAACCACTGCCCATTTCACAGATGAAAAGCTGTGACTGAGGAAAAGGGATGGCTCTTCAAGATGATGTGGGTGGGTATAGGCTGCATAATATACCTGGAAATGACCTTACCTTTAATGGTGGGTCCTAATACGCCCAGCTCCCCCATCTCATACACAATGTCCCTGTGAAAAACTGCAGAGATGGGTGTCAGAATCAGGCCCTGTCTCAGTTTGATGGAGTCCCTGACCCCAGGGACTGCAGCATGTGCAAATCACATATGGTTGTGGAACCCAGGGTGCCCACCCTTCCAAGGCACCTTCATTACGATTGGCCAGCAGAATTCGAGACATAAGCCGCTCCTGGCAGTAGTTACGGAAGGTGTCCCTGATGAGTTTCTCATCGGCAGTCAGCTGCTCCTCCAGTACCAGTGGGTCCTTCCAGTCAAACACAGGACGAGTGGCTGGGTATGGTGTGGGGATTGAGTCAGCCAGACCCCGGCATCCTCCTGCACATTTCTAAGCTACACCCATTCCCCCCATCTCGCTCCAGGTGGATTCTAGCTTCAAGACAATCTGACAAACGCAACCCCTCTCCAGCCCAGTAGAAACAAATACCCACTACTTTAGACTTCTGACCCTGGGCACAGCCCAGACTCCCTTCCCAGAAGTCCTTGCATTCACGGACAATCATGGGTCAGACAGCTGGACGGGGAGTAGGGGGGGTAGGTGATCCTTACATTTGGCCGATCGGATCTGTGTCTTCTCTGCAAAAAAAAAAAAGAAAGAGGAAGTCACACTGAGAAAGTGTCCTGTGTTTCCCTGCCCACCCACCCGGAGCCCCGTACTGACCGGTGTGGGCGGCCGCCGAGCTCCAGGTACGTGGAACCCGCGGGAAGCACACGCCGGGCCTGCGGCTCAGCAACCGCGCGGAGACTCCTCTCAGGGACATGTAGCCGGTGAGCATTGCAGGGACCATAACCTGGAAGGGCTGGGCGTCAGCGGGGACCAGCCTTCTCCCACCCCATACCCTTCATACCTAGTGCTTGCAGGCTGTGCTCCGGACCAGCACACGTGACCTAGGCCTAATAGGGGTTGCTCATTGGTTCCTCCTTGGTTCCTCCCAGAACACAGCCTCCTCTGTGGCTCTGCCTTTTAAAAGAGCTAAAGCAGCAGCTTGGTTTTTGCCCTCGGGTTCTTCCCCCGCCCAGTCAGGTTTCTCCCTTAAGCAGGGGAACCAGGAAGGGGCGGAAAACAAGTGTGCAAACCCGATTGGCCAACTGTATTTCTGCCCCACCCACTCCTGGTTGCCTAGTTGCCGAGGGCCTGAGAGGCGGGATCCCAAGTCCAACAAGAACGCCTGTAGGCCAGACCTTGAGAAATCCTCAAACGGGGTACCTGTGGAGAGAAAGGTGGACTGCTAGCGGTGAGCCCCGGTGAGCCCAGCCCAGTCAGCCTGCCAGTCTATCCCAACTTGTTGCTTTGTGTGTACTCTGTGGATGGATGTGATCTTCTGTGGCACAGTAACTGTGTTTCTGTGTACCTGTGTGGTTCTCCTACTTTCTGAGTGTTTGTGTAGAATAATCTAAAATATGTTGTAATTGGGTATCTTGTATATTACAATTTCTATTGGAATATGCACTGTTGAGAAAATTAAGACAAGAATAGAAAAAAGGGGAAACGTAACTGTAAAAACTCTCCTAAGAAATAGTAACTGGTTATCCTGACAAAGCAGCCATCTAACAATTGTCCTTCGAAAGGAGAAAGCTCCAGTGTCTGATTCTCAAAAGTGCTTGACTGACCGACCACACAGAGACTTCCCCTTATAGACTTACATTGACCTTCCTTTGGTTTTTAGTTTAAGCCACCAATAAAGATGATTGGCTTAGCAATAATGCTATAACTATAAATGTTGTAGAAACCCATATGCAATGGTTCAGACCTCCAGTGGTTTTCTCCCCTGGGCTCACAAGAAATAAATTCTCCTGATCCTCTTCTCAGTTGTCAAAGTCTGAGGGCAGCATGTGTCATTGGACCTTCCTGTAACACATTTTATGGGGTTGTATTTCTATCTATGTCCCCTCTTTTAGCTGTGTGTGGCTGAGAGCTACTGTGATGGTCATCTTTACAAGTGTCTCTTTGTGTGTGTGTGTGTGTGTGTAAGAGAGAGAGAGAGAGAGAGAGAGAGAGAGAGAGAGAGAGAGAGAGAGAGAGCAATGTATGCACAGCTTCCTGTGTGGAGGACAGAGGACAACTTTCAAGAGTCATTTCTCCTTCCACTATGTGTGTCCTAGGGATCAAACTCAGGTCTTTAGGCTTGGTGATAAGTGCCCTTACCTGCTGGACAATCTCTCAGCTGGACAATCTCAATCTTTTAATTTTGACACAAGGCCTCTGTTATGGGTCTGGGGTTGCTTAGAGATAACCATAACCATAAATAAATTTTAATAAGAGGCTTATTTAGGTATGGCTTCCAGTGTGGGACAGGACTGCACCTGAGAGCACTCCCAAGCTGTAACCCCTAGCCAGATCTACAAAAGGCTTATAAAACCAAACTCCACAATATTATGTATCTCCTGAAGGGTGTAGTCTTAACATAATGTCTTACAGTTGCCCTAGTCATCTTTTTGAGTGGAGTAAGGAAGTTTGATTATAAAAATATGAATAGAAGTTAAACTTATGACCTTCTATTTTGCTAGAGCAGTCAAGATCAGTCACTCTAAGTTTGTTTTACAAGACAGGATCTCTCTGTGTAGCCCTGACTGTAGGCTATGTAAAAAAAAATTTTACAGCCTATTTTAATAAACATTCAACCTCTCCCCTTGCACACCACTTGCCAGAGGTCGTGGAAAAGTAAAGTTATTACGATGTGGGGGAAGTGGACCTGTTCAGCAATAGTTCTTTGGGGGTGAGCTCAGTCTTCTTTGGCAGCAGTTCAGTCCTGTGGCAAACATCAAATAGGAATCAGCAGCTGCCGTTGAGTCCTCTCAGCAGGCAGACACCACGCATGAACCAGCTGCTGTAGTCTAATCCTAGAGAAACTGAAAGGCTGAGGCTGTTGAAGCAGCAAGCTGCCGCAGGAGCCTCACGAGCAGTTCTTGTGTGAGTTTCTCTCAATGGCCGTGCCACCACAAGCAGAGCTCAACAATACTATGTAAGCAAACCAATACATGTGTGTCATTAGTGAAGAAGAGTGAGGTGGAGCAAAGCAAGCCAACACTCCAGCTCTCTCTCACTGCCTGTGGGGTCATAGTTATCCTCCCTCATCATGTGTCCTTTCACATGTCTGCCATAGCAAAACAACCTTTCACGTGTGCCCTCCTCAGGAAAACACTTCTTCACATGTTTGCTTTAACAAGACATCCTTTCACCTGTGTGCCCCAGCAAAACATAATTTGATACAACCAATCCTACAAAGAAACTAGAAGTTTCCACTTTTCCTGGCTGTCCTGGAATTTACTCTGTAGACCAGGCTGCCCTTGAATTCAAAGAACCACCTGGCTCTGCCTCCTTCCAAGTGCTGGACTAAAGGTATATGCCACCACCCCTGGGCTCTATTAAGTGCTCTTCACCACTAGGGCCAATTCTCCAGCCCCTCCATGGTCCCCCCCCCCCGGCCAAAAAAGTTGTATTTGTTTACTGTGTATGTGCATACACACACTTTTGCATACCAAGTCACTCCTGTGGATGTCAGCTCACTCCTACCACGATAAGAGTCCCAAGGATGAACCGAGGTTGTCAGGCTTAGAGGGAAATACCCTTACCTTCTGTGGTCCTCCTTCTCTTCCTACTACTGTGGATTAAACTTCGAGCCTCACAAACACTAAACTAGTTGTTCAGCACTGATTTACAGCCTCAACCTGTAAGAGGGCTCCAGACCTTAGCACAACTGACTCCATGATGGAAGTACCATTCAGTCTGTAAAACTCAGCAGGCAGACAGAAACACCTGCCAAAGGCCTGATCCATCAAAGTCTATACAGTTCTGGGAAAGTCTCTAAATGTACTAACTGTGCTTTGGGGCTTCTGTAGTTCTGCTTCTGGCTATCTGTTCTTGCTAACTGAGGTATGTCAACTTCAATTATGAAGTAAGACATAGTTTTTATGCTTAAAAACTCACCCTGAAGGCTGGGCAGTGGTGGCGCATGCCTTTAATCCCAGCACTTAGGAGGCAGAGGCAGTCGGATTTCTGAGTTCGAGGCCAGCCTGGTCTACAGAGTGAGTTCCAGGACAGCCAGGGCTATACAGAGAAACCCTGTCTCAAAGAACAAACAAACAAACAAACAAAAACAAAACAACAACAAAAAAACAAAAACAAAAAAAACCTCACCCTGAAAAAGATTCATGGCTACTCCAGGACCCTGAACACTCAGTGTAGTTGTCAGCCTGCTAGTAAAGACTTTCTATTGGGTTGAACTTATATCCGAGCAGTCTTCTCTGGCGAACACCTCACAACAAACCCCAGTGCTTGAGTTCCTGTGTCTCTGTTGACTGTGAGTGACATGACTGTTCATGTGACTGGAAGCATTTGTGACTCCTTGCCTCCCTCCTCCCTCCCTTCCATCCTGGGGAATCAAACTTAGTGCATTGCTCAGGATAAGCAGGCAGGCACTCTACCACTGAACTATAATCCCAGCTCAGTCTATGGGGTTTAAAGTATTTGTTTTTAAAAATGTATTTATATTGCCGGGCAGTGGTGGCGCACGCCTTTAATCCCAGCACTTGGGAGGCAGAGGCAGGTGGATTTCTGAGTTTGAGGCCAGCCTGGTCTACAGAGTGAGTTCCAGGACAGCCAGGACTACACAGAGAGACCCTGTCTCGAAAAACCAAAAAAATAAAATATAAAAAATAAATAAAAATGTATTTATAGCTGGAGATGGTGGCAGAGGCAGGCAAATTTCTATGAGTTCAAAGCCAGCCTGGTCTACAAAGTTCCAGGACAGCCAGGGCTACACAGAGAAACCCTGTCTCAAAAAGCCCAGGGTAATGATGCAATCTCTGTTGTATAAGAGGGAGGTTCAGAAGTTTTTGTTTTACTATTAAGGGTAAGAGAGTGTGTGCTCTAAACAAGACCAGTAAGAGAAAGGAGAGAATTCAAAGGAACAATAAAATACTCAAGCCAGTCTGTTTAGCTACCCAGACCTAGTACCTCTCCTACCCAAGTGATAGTTACTTTTGCTTCCTCTGCAGCTCAATTTTCTTTCTTTCCCAGACTTTCTATACACACACACACACACACACACACACGTATATTTTTTATTGGATATTTTATTTATTTACATTTCAGATGTCATCCCCTTCCCCATTTCCCCTCCCTAGAAACCCCCTATCTCATCCCCCCTCCTCCTTTTTGTTTTTAATTACATGCAAGTATTAAGGTCAGTTCTAGGTTGAGGAACTAGCAATACAATAGATGCAAATAGTCAAGGAACAAGCAAGACAATAAACAAAGTTCTATGAACACTCCCATGATCACTATTTCTAAGGGCTTATCAGAATGACCTAAATATCTGAGCCTACTTCCCTGTCCTAGACCAAAGTCATTTTATGCCTTGTTCTAGCCTAATATTTAGATTCCTGCCTGAAATTCCTTCTTTGTTCTAGCCTAATGTCAAATTCCTGCCTAAAGTCCACTTCCTTGTCCTTGGCCCATGTCAGCTTCTTGCCAAGCAGTCCCAAAAGCTCTCCACCTCTCCCCCTTTTTATTTCATAAACAAGACTGAGCCTGTCTAAGGTCATTCTGCCAAGAATGCCTTCCTTATTGGTCATGGAATATGCATTATCAAAAGCAATGCACTTCTGTATTAGGTTGGTAAGGCTCTGTGCAGAATCTTACCAGTCCTTGCCAGCATGTTAATTTATAACTCTGTCTGGGGGTTGTATGTATGTTTTGCCTGCATATATGTATTTGCACCATGTGTGTGCCTGATGTCTACTGAAATCAGAAGATTGGATCCCTGGAACTGGGGTTACAGATCCTTTGAGACACCATGTGGCTCTTCTGCAAAGGCTCACTAGCCACCAGCTGTGCCCCCTCCAGGGTTTCTCTCTGGGTGTCTTGGAACTTGCATTGTAGATCAGGCTAGCCTTGAACTCAAGAGATCTGCCTGTGTCTGCCTCCTGAATGCTAAGATTAACTGCTTTTGCCAGCCTGCTAGGCTTGCCTCCAGCCCTCTTGATGGCTTTTTGTTTTTTTGGTTTTGTTTTGTTTTTGAGACAGGTTTCTCTGTTTAGCCCTGGCTGTCCTGGAACTCACTTTGTAGACCAGGCTGGCCACTTGCAGAACTGCCTGCCTCTGCTTCTGGAGAGCTGGTATTAAAGGTCTGTGCCACCACACCTGGCTCTCTTGATGGTTTCTTGTCTACATAGTTCATTGTAAGTTTGTATTCTCTGTTAGTTACTGTGTATCTAGTCAGTACTGAGCACCGAGCTCTGTTTGGTGGTTTTCTATTTGGGTATGGCTATTATCTTTGGAAGTTTTTGTTTTAATTTTTCTGTTACTGTAGTTGTTTGGTTTTCTTATTATTTATCATCATTATTTTATTTCTTTTGTGAGAGGTTAGCTAAAGCCTTTTTTATTAATGCCAGGAGAACTGAAGCAGGAAATCATGGTGGTTAAGCAGCCTAGCACCTAAGCCCAATTGGCAGGACAAGGCTCATTTTCATCATTAGAGCTCCTTCGGTAACAGGGAAGGCTGTTCACAGCCAGCATGGCCAAGGTTATATAAAGCTCAACAATGTTATTCGTCATCAGAAAAATATCTGAAGTGTGGGAGCATCAATTACCCAGACTGTGCTCTAGAGATCTGAAGACAGTCTTAGGCACTTTTAGTCCTGCGTCCCTTCCCAAGTCTATTGGCATTCTAAATTGCAACTCATTTAAAAGTACAGGTGTAACCCCAGTCCACTAAGAGTTGAAACATACATTATGTTGTAACACAAATCCTTCTTGAAAAATATCAAAAAGCAGATGTTCCCTCTTTCTCCAATTCATTGTATCTTCACATAATTCACCTTAATTCAAACCACAGCGTCAAACCAGAGGCCTGGTGCCTGCTCAGCACATGCTCGGCCACTGGACTGAGCCCTTTACAGTCACCTGACTAGATTCTGTTGTAATGCGGTGCTGGTGGCTGTCTAGGGGATCCTGCAGTCTTTTCCTGTCTGACAAACAAATGAAGGTCTGGGAAAGAAAGAAAATTAAGCTACAGAGAAAGCAAAAGTAACTATCACTTGGGTAGGAGAGGTACTAGGTCTGGGTAGCTAAACAGACTGGCTTGAGTATTTTATTGTTCCTTTGGGGTCTCCCCTTTCTCTTACTGGTCCTGTTTAGAGCACACACTCTCTTACCCTTAATAGTAAAACAAAAACTTCTGAACCTCCCCCTTATACAACATTATATAACATTATATAACATTATCTACCCTGGGCTTTCCAACACTGTACAGTTCTCCACTTGGTCGTTCCCCTTATCCTGCAGCCCTGGCCTCTTCCACTCTCTAATCCCTGTGAATCTGACTATCCCCGGTGCAGATGGGGCTATGTAAGAACATTTCTCCTATCATAGGTTCTGTGGAGGTTTGATTAAGAATGGTCCTGAAAGGGGGCTGGAGAGATGGCTTAGAGGTTAAGAATACTGGCTGTTCTTCCAGAGGTCCTGAGTTCAATTCCCAACAACCACAGGGTGGCTCACAACCATCTGTAATGGGATCTGATGCCCTCTTCTGGTGTGTCTGAAGACAGCTACAGTGTACTCATATATATATAAATAAAGTAAATAAATAAGTAAATAAAAAGAATAGTCCCCATAGCTGGATGGCAGTGGCACACACCTTTAATCCCAACATTCCAGAGGCAGAGAGAGTTCGAGGCCAGCCTAGTCTACTAAGCAAGTTCCAGGCTTCACAGAGACTTTGTCTTGAAAAAAACAGAAACAAACAAAGACCCCTCAGAATGGCTCCCAAAGGCTCATGTATTGAATTCGTAGTTACCAGGGAGTGGCACTATTTGAAAGGATTGTAAGGACTAGGAAGTGTGTCACTGAGGGTTGACTTTGAGGTTTGTACAGCTCCTGCCTGCAAGCCACCGTGCTCCCCCCCCATGATAATGGGCTAAACCTATGAAAATGTACGCAAGCCCCAACAAAATGTCTTTGTTTGTAGCTCACAACCTTCTGTAATGGGATATGATGTCCTCTTCTGGTGTGTCTGAGGAAAGCAACAGTGTGCTCATATAAATAAATAAATAAATAAATAAATAAATAATAATAAATGAATGCAAATTCAGTGGGCTGAGTAGCTTCACAGTGTCCTGTGACAAACACTTCTATTGATTTTCAGAATGTTTCTATCCTCCCAAATGGGACTTTGTCTCCTACCACGCACTCCTGCCCAGCCTCTGGGAAGCACTAACTCACTGCTAGTCCTGCCAACCTGTTCTGGCTATTTTATAGAGAAAATAATATAGTATGTAACATTCCATGACTGCCTTACCTGCCTCCGTTAGTGTGTGTGTTCCTTGGGTTACCCATCTTAGAACACTGACTGTGTGACATGTGTCTGCACGTGTGCCTGAGCATGCAGCCCAGCAGTTAAGGGTGATGGTCTCTTCCTTAGTTTTCTTTACCTTATTTCCTAGGCTGGGTCTGACACTGGAGCTGATTGGCTAGACTGGCTATCCAGTGAGCACCAGGTTACCCTCCTGTTTCCATCTGTCTAGTGCTGGTCTTAGACATGCACAGGGACACTTGGCTTTTGTGCGGGTGCTTGGGATCTGAACCTAGGTCTTTGTGCCTTGCTTTTAAAATTAGTACTGGGCAAACACTCAGTTATAAAGCCAAGTCTTCAGAACTGTTTTACTCTTGTTGTCTTTTGAGACAGAGACTAACTATGTAGCCCTGGTTGTCCTGGAACTGATGTAGACCAGACAGACCTCTTAAATTCAGAGATCCACCAACCTCTGCCTCCTAAATCCTGGGATTAAAGGCATCTACTACCATGTCTGACTAGGTACCATTTTCTATAATGGATCTGATGTCCTCTATGGCTCATTGATGTGTGATCATATTACTGTACACGTGACATTTCATTTCCCTACCCTGACACATGGCACCAGAATGGAAGTATGAGAATAGCAGGTCATCTATCATGGGGGCCACAAGCAACAAGTGGTTAGGCACAGTCAGGGCCGAGCTTTCCTGAATGGCATACTAGCTGTGGCCCCATTGATGGGTCCTATCCCACCACACTGTAAGATTCATAGCCATCCCCTTCAGCTCCGTGTAGTAGCCAGTGAGGGTCCTCAGTGTCCAAGGGTAGGCTGATTTGAGGGGACTCCTTTTGCTAAACAGCTCAGACCTCAACACACAACGCAAGCAATTCAAAGCCAAGATAATTTGTGGCACCAACCCCCACCTCTTCTGCTTAAGGAGGAACAGAGCTATGGTTGTTCTGGGCCCCCTACCTGATAGCGGCCTGAAACATCTGGTGTGTCTGATAATGCCTGAAAGAGAGCTGCTGCCAAGGCCCGCCATTAGCACCGTTGCTGCTGTTTGTCTGGGAGGGTAAGGGCTGCAGTAGCCTCGACGAGGGGTCAAAGGGTCCCAAAGACCTTTCCCAAGAAATCTATCCTTCCTGGCCCATTCCTTCTCCAAGGAGAGAGACTTAAGACCAGACCAGAGGAGTCTTCTCAGTCCTCTAGGGATGGGCAGGGGTTGGGGGGGTGGGATCAGGACTTCTCTTTACCTGTCACCTGAACCCCAAAACTTTGAAGACCCTATTCCTTGACATTGGACTTACTTTACATACAGGATTGGTTTTCAGGAACCAATTCCCGAACAGGCCAAGGTGAAGTCTGTTCCTGAAAGTGACACACCACAACTTTAATCCCAGCACTCAGGAAACAAAGGCAGGCAGATCTCTGTGAGTTCGAGGCCAGTGTGGTCTACATAAGCCAGTTCAAGAGAGCCAGGGCTCTGTTACACAGAGGAACCCTGTTTTGAAAAACCTTTAAAAAAAAACACACCATACACATATCATGCACACCCCTCCTTTGCCTTTCTGCCTTGCCGGGGTCTTATCAGGAAGACAGCCAATCAGATGTGGGCAGACAGGAGCCCTCCAAGAAACCTTCCTAGCCTCATAGCCCATGAGGCAGAAGACAGAGAGGAGACCTGAGGCCCAGGGTGGACACCAGCCAGCCATGGCCTCAGCTGAGACTGTCTTACCCTCCATCAGTACGCTGACCACCCTGGGACAGTTCCTGGACACCCAGGAGGACTTCCTCAAGGTGGGGCCAGTGGGGGGCAGGTGGTCTTGCTGAGACCGAAGGCATAGTGCTTGGGGGGGGGATTTCTATCTTTAGTATCCTCTGCTGGGTTTTTGGGGGGCTGGGGAGCCTCTGAGCCTGCCTTGGGGAGGTTTTTTAGGGGTCTGAGATCAAGGTGAGGCCTATTTCTGAAATAGAAAGTGGAGTTCTAAGCTCTATAAGAGTCTAGGCTCAGAGAGACAAAGGCCTAGATAAAGGTGTCCTGGGACACCTTTGAGATTTAATCTTATTGGGCTATGTGAAAACAGGGAAAGGCTAGGAAAAACAGAGTCAAAGCTGTCCCCTTTGACTCAGAACTCTGCAACCCCCTCTCCCATCCGGAATACTGTTTTTGGTAAGTGTCTTATCTGTCTCTAGCAAGACCTAATGGAGTTGTCTGGAACTGAGAAGGGGGTTAGGGGAACAGTGTGGGTAAATGATAGGCACGCAAACCCTTGACCAGCCTGCCCCAGCCGGGGTTGCTTCAGGGCCAGGTACCCAGTGCCTACCATTGACGCAGTGCGCTCCCTCCCGCAGTGGTGGCGGTCAGAGGAGACGCAGGATTTGGGCCCGGGGCCTCCGAATCCCACGGGGCCATCCCTTCACGTGAGTCTGAAGTCGGAGGACCCTCCCGGAGAGGACGATGAGAGGGACGTGACCTCTGCGTGGGACCCGGATCTTTTCTTTACAAACTTTCCAGATCCCGAGGTGCCCGGCACTTCCCGGACCTGTGCCCTGGCGCCCAGCGGGGGCCCAGCGGCACAGTTCGCGCCGCCCGAGTCTCTGGGCACCTATGCGGGCGGCTCAGGGTTGGTGACCGGGCCTTTGGGCTCCGAGGATCACACGAGCTGGGCGCACCCGACCCCGAGAACCCCAGCCCCTGAGCCTTTCGCGGCCCCTGCCCTGGCCTCGGGACTCCCTCCCAAAGCGCAGCCCGCTTTCTCCGCTTCGCGAGCGGGCTCGGCCGGGGGCTTCTTCCCGCGGACGGGGCTTGCGGTGCCCTCAGCTCCAGGCGCCCCCTATGGGCTGCTGTCGGGATACCCTGCGCTGTACCCCGCGCCACAGTACCAAGGCCATTTCCAGCTCTTTCGCGGGCTCGCGGCGCCTTCTGCTGGCCCCACTGCGCCCCCTTCCTTCGTGAATTGTCTGGGACCTGGGGCGGTGGGCACAGAACTCGGGGCCACTGCGATCGCCAGAGACGCAGGCTTGTCCCCGGGAGCTGCGCCGCCCAAACGCAGCCGGCGAACTCTGGCACAAAAGAGGCAGGCGGCACACACGTGCGGGCACGAGGGCTGCGGCAAGAGCTACACCAAGAGCTCGCACCTCAAGGCGCACCTGCGCACGCACACAGGTGAGGGCGGAGCCCGGCGGGCGGGGGCGGGCTCGGGAGCCGGAAGCGGAGCGAAGGGAGGGCTCGGGCTGGCCAGAGGCGTGGCCAAAGGCGGTCCCGGCGCCAGGGGTCGTGAAGACCGCGCCAGAGACATTGGGGTCTTCGCCAACGGCGATTCCAGACCCAAATGGGGGACTCCCAGCACTCAGGAGGCAGAAGCAGGTGGATATCAGTGACTTTGAGGCCATTTGGGCTATTATAGCGAGTTTCGGCAGCCTGAGCTACTTAGTTAGATCCTGGCTCATAAATAAATAAATAGGTGTAGACAGAGGACCTGGGGAACATTTTGGGGGTTCCAGTGTTAGAAGCAGATGTGTAAGGCCTAGGTTAGAGATGGGAGAAGAGCAGAAAGCACAATGAATGGCACGTGGGGAGAAACTAGAGGGGTGAACCTCTAGTTTCTAGGGTACAAGCTTGGAATGCCAGAGCTCAGGATCTAGCCAGTATTCACCTGCATGCTCGAGTTGGAACCATCTGGGATCAGGAGGTTAAGACACTCAAGTAGCATCAGTTTCAGGGGCAACTGACAGAGGTCCCAGAGATAAAGGAGGCCATAAGAAAAGAAGGAAATACTGGGAGACAGGGCCTAGAAAGAGAAACGGGGTCGTTCCAGGACTGGAAGACAGTTGCGGGCTTCCCAAGCGGTAGGGCATGCACCAGGTATATAACAGGAAGAGGGGGAATCACTAGAGACAGGGCCTTGGACACTGGGATAGATTTCAGGGCTTGGACCAAGTTCAGGAACAAGACTGGATGTCATCTGGAAGCTCTGCCAGTGTAAGAGATAGCTGGAACGCTGAGAACAAAGAACAGTGATGCATCCATCTCAGGCAGGGAACTCGTACATAGAAGTGGGGTAGGAGACCGGAAGTGGGAAAACTTCAGGATTGCCGCTGTAGATACAGAAAAGGATCGGGGGTCACAGAGGGCATGACTGCGTGCCCTTTAAACTGTGCGAGCTAGATATGTCACCTAAAACTTGGTTCCATCAAGTGTGCAAGAGATCCGAGCATCTAGAGCTGGGCTATTTGGAGGGTGGTACTTACAGCTTCCTGTCCTTCAGGAGAGAAGCCTTATGCATGCTCCTGGGATGGCTGCGGCTGGAGGTTCGCTCGCTCTGACGAACTGACGCGCCACTACCGGAAGCACACTGGACATCGCCCCTTCTGCTGTGGTCTCTGCCCACGTGCTTTTTCACGCTCTGACCACCTAGCTCTGCACATGAAGCGTCACCTCTGAGTGACCCTGCACAAGGACTAGGGATGAAATAAGAGTGGATCCAAAGACTGTTTCCCAAAGGATGGGCCGTTATTGGACTCACAGTCCTACTCAGATCAAGAACTGACCCGAAGACCATACAAAGGAGCCTTCAACAGAAACCTCACAAATCCTCAGGGAACCACACGCATGGCGACACAGACCCAGCAATACAGACCACCAATAAATCAACTCAGATGGACCCCTAGACCAGCACAGGCGTGACTCTAAGTCCTGGAGGTGGATGGAACGGGATGAGATTTCCCAGAATCTAGAATCGAGTTTCACACTGTGCCCATAGCTGGGATTGTCGTGGTTACTATAAAAATTTCCCATATAAAACCAGTGTCTGTCTCACTGTAGTACGGAGCTGGAAATGGAGGAGCGTTGAGTCCCTCAGCAGGTGACACACCTGTACACATACTAAACTTTCTAAAATTCATTCACTTCTGATGACACTCCTCCATCCCCTCCCCTCCCCCTAGCAGTCTCCTCCATCAAGGTCAGCCTTACAATCCTGTCAACTGTTGTCCAGCCAGTGATGAGATATTCAGGACTATTATCTGTGCCCTTCTCCCTGTTTCCCTAGATAGGATCTTACTTACTATGTAGCCCTGGTTCGCCTGAAATTCCGTAGACCAGGCTGGCGTCAAACGCAGAGATTGTCCTATCATCCTGTCTCTGCCTCCAAAGTGCTGACTTTAAAGGCAAGGGTGACCATGCCTAACTTCTCTACTTCCTCAGGCAAACAGAGTCATAGTCACAGAGGTAGCTTAGGCCTGTAATCCCAGCTGATTCGGAGGCTGAGGCAGGAGGATTGCAAATTTCACACAGGCCTGTAATACAGAACAAGGCCAAAGTCATCCTGGGAAATGTAGTCAGAGTGTGTGTGTGTGTGTGTGTGTGTGTGTGTTTCTCTCTTTCTCTGAGAAAGGGTTTCTATGTATAGTTTCGACTGTCTAGGAACTCACTCTGTAGACCAGGCTGGTACTAAACTCAGAGATCTGCGTGCTTGAGCCTCCTGAATATTTTTTGTTTGTTTTCTTCATGTCTCAAGAAGTTTACAATAACAAAATAAACCTAGCTGTGCGTGGTGGTATGTATGTTTAATCCTAGCACTCGGAAGGCAGAGCTAGGTGAATCTCTGAGTTCGAGGTCAGATAGAGCTATATAATCTAGAGACTTTGTCTTTTAAAAAGGTAGGAAAAAAATTGAGTGGTGGTGTACACCTTTAATTCCAGCACTCAGGCGGCAGGCTGATCTCTGAGTCCGAGGCTAGCCTGGTCTACAGAATAGTTCCAAGACTGCCAGGTACCAAGGCTACACAGAGAGACCCTGTCTTTAAAAACAACAACAGCATGGTGGTGCAGGTCTTTAGTCCCAGGATTAGGGAGTCAGCTGGATTTCTTCAGCTGAAAGCTAGCCTGGTCTATGTAGCATTCAAAACCTGCCACAGCTATGGTAGTTCAGGCCTGTAATTCCAAAATTTAGGAGGTAGAAGCAGGAAAATCAGGAGTCAAGGCCCCAGCCACATAGTCAATCTGTGGTAGCATGCTCAGCAAATGCTGTATTCCTGCCTTGTCACAACCTGAGCAACTCCTTGGTCAGCATCAGGAGTGGGGCTAGAAAAACTTGCAGAATGGACAGGGAGAGGGTGCAGAAAACAAGTTAGCAAGGGTGACCCAGCTGGGTAGGAATCCCATCACTTGTCATGCTGAGACAGGAGGATAGTAAATTATAGGTTAGCCTGGGGCCACAGAGTGAGAGCTTGCCAAAAAACAAAAGCATGAGGGCTGGGATGGTTCAATGGTTAAAAGCATATACCGCTCTGGCAGAGGCCCTGAGTTCTGGTCCCAGCATCCACACAGTGCTTATAACTCCCTGTAACTCCAATTCCAGGGATCTAGCATGTATGGGTGTCTGCACAGCCTGCACCTGATATACACAAACTATTGAAGGCACACACACAGCTACACATAAAAAATTAAAAATTGGAGGACAGCTCATATTTATAATCCCAGGACTCATTCAGGAGGCTAGGCAAAAGTTGAAGAGTTCCAGGCTAGCCTGAGCTACATTGAGACCCTGTCTTAAAAAAGAGAAGGGCCGATAGATGACTCAGCCTGTAAAGGTTCCCACTGTCAAGCTTGATGCCCTGAGTTTGATCTCCAAATCCCATACGGTGGACGGAGAAGCTCCCACAAATTGTCCTGCTCCCCACTTGCATCGAGCATTTACACATATGTACGATGTGCTTGGACACCTCTTGATTTGAGCACTTGGGTGGTAAAGGCAGGAAGATCAGGAGTTCAAGCGTCAGTCACAGTATTAAGAGCTCAGAGAAGGGTACAGGAAGAAAAACAGGGAAATTGCTACATGCTTTTAAAAAGCTTTCCAGAAGCAGAGGCAGGGGCAGGCAGATATCAGTGAATTCCAGGCCAGCCAGAGGTACGTAATGAGATCCTGTCTAAAAAAGCAAAAACAAAAAGCAAAAACGGGGAAAGGAAAGAATTGGACCGGCCCAGGCACACAAGTGATGCACAAACTCACATGCAGGCAAGACCACCAAAAAAATTTTTTTTAAAATGTGCCTGTGATGAGCAGTGATGGTTAAGAAATAGGAAGATTTGTTCCTGATTCAGAACTTGAAAAGAAAAACCAAAAACCCAGAAGTTGGAGCGTCTTAGACGTCACGTGACAGACAATGCCCAAGGGAGGGGCGTGCCCACGGGTGAAGCCTATCTGGAGCTGAGTCGGCCAAAAGCGGGAGGACTGGGCGGGGCGGACACTGGAGGGGGCGGGGCTCGCTGGTAGGACAACACCATAGGAAGCCCCGCCTCCGCTCCGGGCCTAGCCTGCTTCTTCTCCACCCTCGTGAAGCCGGGACCCAGGTCTCTGCGGTCTTTAGGGGAAGTTACTCTCAACCTCGTGACCCGGCTGTCTCGGGACTTTCAGAGTCCATCACTGTCGCCTCATGGCAGCACCTCGCTCGCTGCTGCTGGCTGCGCTGCTGTGGGTCCCTGCCGAAGCCCTGAGCTGCTATGGGGACTCCGGGCAGCCTGTGGATTGGTGAGCAAGGAGTTGCGGGACTGTCCCCAGACTGAGTGGGGACTGGCGTGGGCACTGGGATTGAAGCGCTTTTCCTCAAACCCTCAGATCTCTTTTCTCCCTCATCTCCTGTCTTCCCGGACCTCCAGGTTCGTGGTATACAAGCTGCCGGCTCACAGCGGATCTGGGGATACGCCATGGAAGGGTCTGATGTATAAATACATGGACCAGAACTCCGACGGATGGCAAGACGGTGTAGGGTACATCAACAGCTCGAAGGGAGCCGTGGGCCTCAGCCTGCAGCCTTTGTACCGAAAGAACTCCAGCCAGGTGACTAAGTGCCGTGGAACCCGGGCCGGGACACTGTGGTGGGTCCCACGGGGAAGGGAGGGTAGTTATGTAGCCTCTGTGCATTCTCCTAGCTGGCCTTTCTACTCTACAACGACCAACCTCCTAAATCCAGCTCAGCTCGGAACTCTCCCAGCCATGGGCATACGAAGGGTGAGAGGCTTGGACTGGTGGTCATGGAGCCTCCCTGAATTTCTTGTAAATTCTACCCTGACTAACCTTTGGCCTGCATGAAGGGTTGGGTTTTGCCCTGTCAAACCTTGGCCTCCGTTTCCTGCTCTCAGACCCCAGCCATCTGAGACCACGTACCTGGTTGCAGATGAGGCTGGCTTGAGGGCCAACTTTCTCTGACCTCTTTCTTCTGGCTCAGGTGTCCTGCTCCTGGACCAAGAAGGGGGCTTCTGGCTGGTCCACAGTGTGCCTCGATTCCCACTCCCTGCGTCCTCTGGCACATACAGCTGGCCCCCTAATGCTCAAACCTACGGCCAGACCCTACTCTGTGTGTCTGTCCCCTTCACTGAGTTCACAAGGATTGGTGAGTAGAGTCACTGGAGGGAGTGAAGTCTCAAACTCCTCTGAGTAACCACTCTCACACTCTTCCTCACTGTGTCTTCCAGGCAAGCAGCTAACCTATACCTATCCCTTAGTCTATGACCACAAGCTGGAAGGCATCTTTGCTCAGAAATTACCTGACCTAGAGGAGGTGATTAAGGGCCACCATGTCCTCCATGAGCCCTGGAATAGTAGTGTAATACTCACTTCCCAAGCTGGGGCCACCTTCCAGAGCTTTGCCAAATTTGGAAAATTTGGGGACGGTAAGCTTTGATGTTGAGGGGCTGAGGGAGAGCACTTTCTTTGTAGAAGGAGGTCCCTGGTATCCCGGGCCCGAGGGCAAGCACACTTAAAGGCCAGCTGTCTTTCGGAGTCATATCACAGTAATAACCATGAGTAGTAAACAGTCAACAGGCAGGTTGGGCAGGTGGAACATATCTGTAACCTCAGCACTGCGGAGGCTGAGATGGAAGTTCGAAATCAGCCAACAAACCTAGGTTCAAATGTTGGTTTCTGGATGTGCAGTATAGGATACGACCCAGGCCTGTTTAGGCATCTGAAAAATTAGGATTAATATTAATGCTTCCCTTAGTGGGTTGTGAAATAGCACATAAATCGTTTGGTAAGGACTCCCTTTTGGTAGGGGCAGGCTCTCACTGTGTATCCCTGGCTGGTCTGGAACTCACAGAGAGCCTCTACTATCTCAGTGCTGATTTTAAAGGCTTGAGCCTGCAGATTGACCTAACCTGTTGACAGGGGCTGTACTAGGAGTCTATCAGTGCCCTCACCTCAACCTTCCTTCCTCTGCAGACCTGTACTCCGGCTGGTTGGCAGAAGCCCTTGGCACCAACCTACAGGTCCAGTTCTGGCAAAATTCTCCAGGCATCCTGCCTTCCAACTGCTCTGGGACCTATCAAATTCTGGATGTGACTCAGACAGCATTCCCTGGCCCATCTGGACCAAGTTTCAGTGCCACAGAGGACCACTCCAAATGGTGTGTGGCCCCTCAAGGGCCCTGGGCCTGTGTGGGTGACATGAATCGAAACAAAGGAGAGACACACCGAGGTGGGGGCACACTATGCACCCAACTGCCTTCCCTTTGGAAGGCCTTCCGGTCCCTGGTGAAAGCCTGCAAGCCCTGTGGAGATGCAAGCTAACTGAAAGCCCAGCGGAGCAAAGAACTAAGACTCTGGGTCTAGCCTGGTGGGGTCAGGACTAGCCTTTATCCCAGTACTTGGGAGGTAGAGGCAAGTGGATCTCTTGAGTTTCAGGCCAGCCTGGTCTACAGAGAGAGTTCCAGGAGAGCCAGAGTCACACTGTCTCAAGGGGAGTGGGGGGAGACTCAGAGACTAGTTTTGACTTGAATCTGTTTGTTGGTGGGTTAAACCCAGGGC